AACGTCTCACCTACAAAGAATTGTGTGCGGGGCATCCATCAAGCTGGGGAACCATTCTTTGTCTCTGTTGCAGAGAAGCATCATCTAATTAAGAAGTTCTTATCGAAATTTCGCTGCCGGTTTCTTGTTGATGGAACAGCAACCGATTCGTATCTCGTCATATTGCGAGCAGCACGCATAAACAAACGTTTGTGGTTTACTTTGAGACGATCAAGAAATGTCTGGGAGTACAACTCAACTGCACGTTAGTTATTATTACTTACATAGCAATTCAACTAGTTTTCGTGGTCCGCTTGACCAACTAATATCATCCAATTAATTCAGGTTTTAAGTTGAGATAAAAAAGTCAGTGTCACGAGCGGGATTCGAACCCACGACCTTCGGCTTGATACGCCGCTTCTCTACCACTTGAGCTATCGTGACTTCGATCCCCTCGGGCACCCACTTCCCATCCCAACCCCACCTTTAGAATTTTCCCTCCTTTTTGCCATATTTCAAAAGTCGTGTAATCCATTTGATTCTCACGTTGGTGCCCGAGGAGATCGAAGTCACGATAGCTCAAGTGGTAGAGTAGCGGCGTATCAAGCCGAAGGTCGTGGGTTCGAATCCCGCTCGTGACAATGACTTTTTTATCTCAACTTAAAACCTGAATTAATTGGATCTTGTGTAGAATTAATTGAGTTGTAACAATCAAAGCAGTCAGGCTAATGTCTCTTAAGTGTTGTTTTGCTACTCCAGATCTGTCTGCTGAACAGCTATGTAATAAGTATCTAATAAGGGGACGAATCGCTTGGTGGGTCACGGATTTGGACATCACTTTTTTTTATTATTTTACAGTCCAAAATATCGGACATATATCTGCTACTTCTTATGGTTAAGACCTGGTTCCGGCCAAAAAATTTTAAAGTTGAAATTTTCCGTATTTTAATATTTTTATTTTGCTAAAACCATATGCGAATATATCTATTTACAGCATTTTTCATGTATATTGCAATAAAAATATAGTAAACTGTATATCCCGATTCGTACTTGCAGTAAAAAGTTAATAGAAGATATTTTAATTGAGAATATAGGTTTCACTGCTTGAGATAGTGAATTTCAAGTTCACCAACGCAACACAGACTTCATTCATGACTTTCAAAAAATTATTTGGCGTTCTGCTAAAGCTCGATATCTCATGGGAACAGTTTCATTCTGATCGAAAGGGTTGTAGTTTAAATTGTTTAAATTTATTTATTTAAAATTTATTTTAATTAATTAATTTTAAAAAATGCATTTTTTGGTCCTAAAATGGCCGCTAATCCTTTAAGTTCAAGGATCGTTATATTTGCGTACGTAAATAAGTAGGAAATGTCCTCTGTCATGAAAAATTATCTTATATCTCTTTCCATACATAACCGAATTTTGTACGTATGTTGTAGAACGATCTACAAGATAATTAGAATATCTCTCGTTCCCGAGAACACCTCCTTGGCCTTAGGTTGCATCTGTCCCCCGTTTTAGTCGTCCTCCGCCTCCCATCACCAAGATCCCCTTTGCCAACCCCGGCAGCGGAGGACATTGATTAATGACCGGTTCCTGGACAGTTGGCCCCTTTCCGGATAGCAGCCGGGCCCCTATCGCGAACGGCGGAGAGCAGAGTAAAAGGGACGCTATCGATTCAAGGAACGGCGAAAAACTCTTCACTTTCTTACCCTTACTCTGAACAGTGTGATTAATCTTTATTTTTAATGTTTAAAAAGCAATAATTACTAAAATATTTATATTTTTTTAAAGCAATTCACGCTACCTCCACTGAAGTAAGACTTATTATTTTAAAATAAAAACGAGATCGGGTTATGCACAAATGAAATAACGAAACTTTGGACGAAATTCATACTAATAAACAAATAAAAATCTATGGAATATATTGACCAAATGTTGATTTTATTTTAACAAACTAACTGATCTCAGACAAAGGAGGGAAAGAAATACATTAAGATTAATCAACCAAAACTCACAGGTCTACCAAAAATACATACACAAAACATACCTGAAATTAAACCAAACACACTGTTTAGAAAATCAACAGACATAATTAACAAAAATCAAAAATATAGAAGTTAAAATTACCAGCAAATTAATATCAGTTGAAATAATAAACATATACATAGCGATTCCGGTAAAATAGTATGACATACAAAATAATTAAAACCATTACAGTTCGTGGTCCGTTTGACCAATTAATTTTTTTCAATTAATTAATATTTATGAAAGGTATTGGTTGAGATTAAAAAGTCAGTGTCACAAGCAGGATTCGAACCAACAACCTTCGGCTAAATACACCGCTGCTCTACCACTTGAGCTATCGTGACCTCGATCCGCTCGGATACTAATTTCCCACCTCAACTTCACCTCTCGAAAAATGGCAAAAAAGAGGGAAAATTCGAGAGGTGAGGTTGAGATGGAAAGTTAGTGTTTGAGCAGATCGAGGTAGTTCAAGTGGTAGAGTAGCGGCGTATTTAGCCGAAGGTCGTGGGTTCGAATCCAGCTTGTCACACTGACTTTTTTATCTCAATCAATACCTTTCATAAATTAATATTTATACAAAATAATATTAAAGCTGATGATTTCAATATTTTTTTAATAAATGTTGTTAAATACATGAACAATATTTCAAAGTACAAATTTTCCAAAGTGGGCCCACTCCACGTTTTCTGTGTTATATTTTTTGATTATCTATATTCTAAAAATTCTAGATAGACTATACTTGAAGTATTCTGCTGTTCCTGTATTCTTATTTTATGGTCTTTGGTAACAGGGTAATATTCAGCATTGTTTTTGATTCTTGATTTGTTGATGCGTTTGATTTTGTTTCACACTACCCTTAATAAGTAAGCTGGGAAAGTGTTGATTGCCCGATAGCTCTTTCACTCTTCTTACCTATCAATAAAAGAAAACAAATTGTAAAAACAGGTGTTGACTCTTAGAAATTAGAACGCATGAAAATAGGTGAACCTCAGGAATCTGTTCTGGGACCACTTCTATTTCTTCATTTTCACTTCTTATTTATTCACTAGTGTTCGTGGTCCGCTTGACGAATTAATATCTTTAAATTAATTAACGTTTTTAGTTGAGATAAAAAAGTCAGTGTGACGAACGGTATTCGAACCCACGATCTTCGGCTAGATACGCCGCTGCTCTCCCACTTGAGCTATCGTGACCTCGATCCACTCGGACACTAATTTCCCATGTCAACCCCACCTTTTGAATTTTCTTATTTATTCAACTGATCTTTCCTAAATTTTCAAATTTACAATTTCTCTTCTCTGAATACATTAAATCAGCACTGAAAGGACAAAAATGCCATTGAAATAAATATACACCTTGAACGAGTAAATATTGTTTTAATGAATTTGTTTAAACAGTGGTTCAATGCAAATAGGCTTTTTTTTGACTTGTGTGGTGGCTTTTGGGTTCACTTAAATAGAAAAACTGATTATTAATTACTTATTTTTTATAGGGTCAATTCTGCACAAGGATGTAAGTATATACGCACATGCACAGAGCTGAACCTATTGTATAATTTACAATAAATTACTAGCCCTTGAGGATCACTCAACTCAGGTGTTGGCACTCTAGGGTCAGATCGCAGTCTTGTCCGTCCAGCAACCGAAATAGAGCCCCAGGGTCGATCAAGAGCTAGGTCATTTCAGCCGCAATCGGTTTCAACCACTCACATTCTTCCTCACTCTTAAATACATTCTTTCCTATTTACATACCATTCCCTCAGCGTGGTGGGGTTCCTCCATTACTCAATATTCCCCTATCAGAACGACACATTCACGCTAATAAATACATTCAGTGGGAGGCGTCGATTGCCGGAACGGTTAATGCGTTGAACTGCGGGAATGGTCCCAGGTTGGAATCGACATACTTACAAATGGGCTTTTATTGACACACTATTACACGTTCACCCTAATATATACATTCAACTCAACTTACATAAAGAAACTCAAAACAAGGTATCTATATTGTATTATAAATAGTAGAACAGCCCTGTTTCCAAAAACGGAACAGGGGACCCAAATACTCGCTACCTGCTAAAGCAAAATCCCCATAACGGGTGGCATTCCTAAAAACTAAAATAAAACTAAAATTCTTTACTTAGGATTGAGAAGCATGATGGAGCTATCAGAAACCTGCTGTGAATAATTACTTATGCAAAATTGTCTTGCAATTCCCACGTCCAAATTTTGCTAAGCGTTTATCCTCTCTTGCGCTTCTATTGAGAAGGCTCTCAACCCAGGTGTCGCTGAAAACCCTTATAAATAAATACTTTTCCCTAATTCCAATCAAAGTTAACATATGTTTACTTTTCACTTACCATCGGCAAAAAAGTCTTTGGTGAACTGAAAAGGCCAATGATTATTTTAGACAATTAGAAGTATCGGGAAGATGTAGGGAAAACTTTAAAATATTAAAACGTTGGTTCTTCCTTGCCTGTGTGTATATATATANTATATATATATGAGCGTACTTTAAATTTACATAAAAATGTCAATATGTTTAGAAAACATCAATCAGTACATAGCTTAAACACAAGAAACAAATCAAGGTTGTTTATTCCAGTATCAGGACTGAGAGCAGGTGAGAGCAATCAGCATTGGATGCTGAAATTGAACAACCTATTACCAGCAGAGGGCCAAGAAAAAATGGAAATAGTTATTTAGTAATTTAAAGTCAGTTCATAAATATTTTAGCATCAAATAATGTTTGTTTTTTTTGTTAACAGAAATGTTTTTTATTTTTTATTTTTTTTTTTAGGTTTGGGTGAAAAAGAGCCAGGAGCAACGGGGGAAATCGAAACTACAACCGAGGGTCTATGAGCCCAGAGTCGATCATGCTGATCACTCGACTACCGCGGTCTTATGGTGTCTTAATTAAAAAAAAAAAAATCCGTCTGTCCGAGTAACAATCGTAAGAAAGAATCAATGTTGGTTGGGATAAAACAAAACAAATTTAATTCATTCAAATTTAATTTGCTTAACAACAGTTATTTACAAATAAGCAGCTGTGTAAGGAGAAACGTAGGAGGCAGCATAGCTAGGAGCGTAGTATGGTGAAGCTGCAGCAAAGTACGGTGCTGTATAATATGATGACGCAACATACGGAGCGCTTACATAGGGCGCAGCATACGGCGAAGCGTAGTAGGAAGCAAGAAGGGCACGTTTGTCCCTGGGTTGTTCGCCGCTGGCTGCGAGAACCAAAGCGAAAAGAACGACCTGAAAAAGAATACGGTTCAAAACGGCTCGTGAACTATAGAGAATTGTACACTTACTGCAAGGAATTTCATGTTTGATGTAGCCTGGTTTAAAGACTGATACCTATTGAAGAACGCCTCGTTCTTTTATACCCACTCGGTGCGAAATCTGATTTGTATTCCAGAGCGGCCGAGGGTCACCTTCGGCGCCAAAAATTCACTCTCTTTGTCAATAATATTACGAAAGCATTTCGTAGTGAGCACAAGGTGATTAGTATTATTTCATATTATACTATACATTATACATCCAACAACATTTTTTGACTCCTGCGCGTCTGATGCTTGGTTTGGCCTTTTCTCTTTTTGATAGATTACTTCTGTTATTCTTGTATACATACATAACTTGATTATTTAATTTTATTTTTTTAATTGGGCAATTGTGAAAAAATCTATGCGAAGCGCAATAACTTACATAGATAAAATATGTAGATATATAATAAGAAAGAACAAGAAAAACAAAAACAATGGACAAGATATCCAGCTCGCATTTGATAACTTCATTATAAATTAATTTATTAATATCCACACCTTATTTATTTATTAGCTTCATAGCCAATCGCTTCATAACAAAAGAAATTTGAAATGGCAAACAAGAAAATTGTAAACAACCAAATTAATACGGGCGAACTCATTTTGCTAATGAAGGGAATGAGGCAACAGATCGAGAAGCAAAGGTAGCAATGAATAATTCGTCCTGGAATTTTGTTGGACACCTCCTGGAGTTCTAACTCGGATGGACGCACTGAACCGTTTGACTACTAATCGGACCCTGAAGGATTAAAGCCTGATAATAAAGATTTTGAATAGGCTCGGAAAGGCAAAATCACATCGGTATCGATTTCATGCGACAAACGATCCAATATGAGAATACCAGTCACAATCGGAAAAAAACATGGAATGACAAACTTTTTGAATATGCCCCCCCCCCTTAATAATATATGAATATTTTAATTATTTTAGTTAAATTTGTGTAATCATCAGAATTAATAAATTACCTTATAAAAGAAGAAAATAAAAATTACCCATTATGTGAGGTGTATATGCATTACTTATTCCTAACATAAAAAAATGTTTTTAAACTTATAATTTAGCATTTAATGAATTTCGTTCAAGGTACATATAGATAAACCAAAATCTGGCTGTTCAACTGAATTAATTAATTACCGTCCCATATGCCATCTGTCTAATATTGCTACATTTTTTGATTAGTAACGATATCATTGTCCCTCTTAGTAATAAATGTATTTATCTATTTATTTATCAATCGAATTAGTTCAAACGGGACTAGACCATAAGGTAGGTCAGTCAAATACATAATTCATATCCACTATTACCACTAAGTAAACAATTTTTTCAATTAATTAAGGTTTTTAGTTGGGATAAAAAAGTCAGTGTCACGAGCGGGATTCGAACCCACGACCTTCGGCCATACACGCCGCTACTCTACCACTTGAGCTATCGTGACTTCGATCCACTCGGACACTAACTTCCCATCTCAACCCCACCTTTCGAATTTTCCATCCTTTTTGTCATTTTTCATTTTGCCATTTCATTTGTCGCCGAGAATCAAATAGATTTCACGACATTTGAAAAATGGCAAAAAGGAGGGAAAATTCAAAAGGTGGGGCTGAGATGAAAGTTACTGTCCGAGTAGATCGAGGTCACGATAGCTCAAGTGGTAGAGCAGCTGCGTATCTAGCCGAAGGTCATGGGTTCGAATCCCGCTCGTGACACTGTCTTTTTTATCTCAACTAAAAACCTTAATTAATTGAAAGATATTAATTGGGCAAGCGGACTACGAAAACTAGTGAATTTAATAAGTAATCAATTATCACTAAACAATGACTAAGGGAACGACCAGGTTGGTGTGGATTTGAATCAAACTCTTGTTGATGATGCTACACTCCAAAATATTGAGCACGTGTCCGTCACTTCTTCTGAATAGGCCCTGATTTTCTTAAAAAAAAATTGAAAGTTGAATTTTTTTAATAATATTATTTTACCTTTCTTTTTTCTCAAATCAAATATATGAATATATCATTTTACAGCCTTTCTTAAGTATATTGCAATAAAAATATAGTAAAAACGATCAAAATTTATCAATAAACAAAAAATTCCTAAAAGCCAAATAATTTTCAGGTAAACTAGGTTTTATCGTAAACTAATATGAAATTTTGTTTTAGCACCTGGAGAGACCCTTAAATATAAATTTTCTTTTGAATTTAAATTTATCAATTTTTCCCCCAATAGTTTTTTCGATTTTTAGAAAGTCGTCATTGGAATATCTGATTGAAACGGCAAATTTTAATGTCAAACATACCATTTGAAAGAAGAGGAACGTAACGTTTTAACAACGTATATACCATAAAAATATATGAAACTTTTCTACAAAACAAATACACAAAATAAAAAAATTATTTGTCAGATATTAACCTCTTGTTTTTTTAATGGTAATAATACTCCGATTTTAATGTTTGATACAGCTTGACAATTTCTTTAAAACGAATTTCAACCATGAATATCAGTCTCCTAAGTTTTTGAGAAAAATGATGGTAGAGCTTGCACTTGGAATGTCGGTCACGCAGTCGTCGAAATTATCAGTCAAGAATTAATTTACACAGATTTCCTTGGAAGTCTAATGGTTTTATAATGCTAGAATAATGACAATGAAGTCAAATCCAAGTTTTGACCATTTTCTGGCCTACTTTGTTTACAGAATTTGTTAAAATATGCAAAAAAGCAGTATTTTTTATTTGCCTTTTTTAAATCATACCAAAATAGACTATTCTGCGCCATAGAACATTTTTCTTTTTATCTTAACCAACAATGAAATTATTACACCAAATATAACATTTTTAATCTTAACGATTTATGCTCTTCTAATTAAATTTACTTTATATTAATAATTTTTATTTATATTTTAATTTTATTTAATATGAAATTTCTTCGCTGGCAAGAAAATCTATATATAAGTCAATTAATTAAGGTTTTTAGTCGAGATAAAAAGTCAGTGTCACGAGCGGGATTCGAACCCACGATCTTCGGCTAGATACGCAGCTGCTCTACAACTTGAGCTATCGTGACCTCGATCCATTCGGATACTAACTTCCCATCTCAACCCCACCTTTTGAATTTTCCCTCCTTTTTTGCCATTTTAGTGTACGAGTGGATCGAGGTCCGATAGCTCAAGTGGTAGAGCAGCGGCGTATCTAGCCGAAGATCGTGGATTCGAATCCCGCTCGTGACACTGATTTTTTTATCTCAACTAAATTAATTGAAAGATATTAATTGTTCAAGCGGACCACGAAACTAGTGAATCTATATATAAGGGCTATATATATTACAACCCTATAATCACGACAATGAGATCAATCAAAGTTTTGACCATTTACTGAAGAATTCCGTTCGAATATTTTTTCACTATTGGTTACATGCAATATTAATGAACAGCACTAATTAACGTCAAAATAACTTCTGGCCTTAGCTTACTAACAAACCTAAAAAGTCTTTGTTGACAAGTGAAATTAAGTAAGCCCATAAATACCCTCACTTTTCCAAAAACAACGCATTCATTATAAATGGACATTAGCAAATTCAGGGAAGCAACCATACATTTTCATTGCGTTTTTCGTTTAAATATTTTCTTCTAATTAATCTATTCCTAAGATTATTTTGCTATAGTAGAGTTTCTTTACCTTTAAGTTTTTGACATTGTTCAACTTGATGTTTTAATTTAATTATAACATTTTACATTTTGTTAATTTGCTTTTTACTCTTTATTAATTCATTATTCTAAATTTATTATAATGGTCGTTGACCAGCAAAACTCCACCACATTCTCAACAAAATCCAAATTTGTCAATCGATCAATTTAAATTCAAACGAAAAATTAACCAAAATTTCATAATAATTTTACACAAAAAAAAGACTAATTTGCTTGAATAATATTTGGTTTTTAGAAATTGTTTGGTGATTGATAAACTTTGATAGCGTTTACTAAATTTGTGTTTCAATCTACTTAAAAATGCTGCAAAATCATAAATTCATAGTTGATTTGAGCAAGAAGAACGAGAAAATAATAACATTAAAACAACTCAACTTTCAATTTTTTTGTGAAACCAGGGCCTTCACAAAAAGTGGCGGATAAGAGTTCAATATTTTGGGGTGTAACATCACCAAAAAAAGTCTGATCCAAATCCTTGTCGCACCAACTTGGTCTTCCCCTTGTAAGATAAAGAAAATTAATACTGATAATTTTAACCACATGGATCTAAAAACATATACACCAGACAATAAAATCAAAATAATAATAAATAGTAGGAAAGTACAGATCAAAGTTTAAATTTAACTAAATAAATAAACTGTGAAAAGTGAAAAGTAAAAATAAATTAGTTAAAATAATAAATCGCATTCCCTCTTAGTTTTTCAAACATTTATAAATTTTTCTTTTGAAAACTTCTAGACTGAAACTCCAAATAGATCACAAGTTTTAAACTTGTAAGTTGAGGGGTGTCGGTTGCCGCAACGGTTTAGGCTTTGCCAAGGCGCTCATCAATGTAAGGTAAAGATCCTGGGTTCAAATCCATTGACCCTGCATTTGAACTCAACATACTTGTAAAACCCTTGTATAAAGAAAGAAAAAAATTTATTAAGAGACCAGCTATTATTACAAAAATTAGGCATAGATTATGGTTAGGGACTTAAAACAAAGCAGAGTAACAACTTCAAAGGCATCAAAAAAACTGTTAAAAAGCATCCATACAAAAATCATAAAAGCATCGGTCGGTCATAATCCAATGAATGTAAATTCAAAACCTTAAGAGCTGCATAATATGATCAGAAACTGCATCCAATTAAAAAAAAAAAAAAATAGTATTCAAACTTTAATTTTTATTCGTTCCAGGTAAGCAGTATAAGTCCTAGTCCTTTACAAAAGGAACCATAGCAAACTAGCATCCTCCAGAACTCTCCTGACCAAGGACTCATACCGAATTTTAGTTGCAAAGATGAAGTGAAATCAGATATCACTCTCTTTAAAAATAAAAAATCCCTATATGCTCTATTGAAGAAGGAGGAATAATAGTTCCAAATTGTTGTTAATGCCAACACCCAGCTCTAGAATTGAATCAACCCCTTTAAGAGGAGTAAGACAAAAGATATATATTCAAAAAAGAAAACTTCTTAAATGAGAAACAAATGTAATAACATTTACCAAGACCCTGTTAAGAGTGCACCAATTGTAGAAAGCAGATGTACTTCTGCAACAGAGAAATCTGCTACTCTCTCACCACTAAGGTTTTGTGTGGAGAGGAGCTGGTCTGGGTGTCTGGTTCTTGGTTCTTGCCTGGTCTTGTGGTGTCCGGTTCGCTGTGGGGGTGTGACCGCTTTTGATGTCCCTGCCCCTCCTGTCTCTCTCTGTTTTCTTCTCTCATCGATTAATTCATCATCAAGGCAGTTTTGACCCATCGTGGTTGTATGCCTTTATAATTAAATTTTAAAAAAACCTCATTCGTGGTGGGGGAAAGACAGCTGACACAAAAGGATCTTCCTTCTAGAAAATAAAGAAATCCACTCAAACGTGGCTCACTGACATCAGCCATGTGCAATTTTTGAACCAAAAATATGGCCCACAGCATCAAAGGCTTTCGATAAATTCGTGTAAACAGAATGGGCTTCGTGACCCCTTTCAAATTCAGAGTTTATAATCCTTATAAAGGCACAGATTACTGGTAGTGGATCAGAATTTGAAAAACCCATGCTGATTGAAAGGCGAACATCCTTAAAGGCATCTGACTAACACTAAAACTTTAGAAACAAACTAAGCCTTAGCAATACTTGGCAATAGGTCTATAATTCTATAAATCTGATTTAAGCTTAATAAACTGGGGTAAAATAAGAGCACATCCAATCTTCATGAAAAGTGCTTGTGCCAAGGGACAGACAAAACAAGCAAGCAGTAGGCATATACAATGATTAACTACATTTACAAAGAAAAAACTCCACAATACCAAAAGATTAAGAACTAGGATTAAGTTTTAGAGAATTAAGAGCTTTAATAAAATACTGCCAGAAGAATCAATATTGTTTAAGTCAGCATCGCAATATATCATACATCATACAACATAGTTTTCAACTTAAGGCCACGACAAACTTCAAATCCTCTCTGTTTGAAAATTTGCTCTAAATGTTTTCACTCACATATGGAGTGAGTACTGTATGGACAGCATCAACAAGTAAACATTAATGACGGTTGATCTAAATTTATAAAAGTAAAATCTGGAGAACCACAGGGCTCTTACTTGGGTCCCTTATTATTTTTCATCTTCATTAATCATATTGCCAAAGTTGTTTCTCATAATATTAACTTTTACTTATAACATTGAATTTTTTGAACATGTAAACGATATAACTAATAAATATTAATCCATTTATGTTTTAGTGACAAAGTTTACATCTTTAAATTAATTATTCTTTTGATGTTAAGGTCTTGGTTCAGATAAAAAGAATAATTAATTGAAAGAAATAACTAATAAAGCTCATAATTTTATAGGTTTTTTATTGTGTGGTCTAAGGGGCGGTGATGCTGCAATTTGGTCATTTACTATTTTTTTGAACTACTGTCTTCATTCTGGTCTGTCCAAAGTGTTCTCTTAATTGCTGGGTCTGCCATAATGCCACAATATATCTGATAGACCAACTCAGCAAAGATAGGTAGACCAAAATTACCGGTAACAAATGAAATATTTATCTTAAACTTCTAAAGAAATAAAAATTACAAACTGACTTAAATATTGACAGATTTTCATACAGAAATGTAATATTATATACACATTAATTGTTTTCAAACTAAGTTTTACTTTTGTGAATAATTTTATCAAATAATTTTGAGTAAAGCAATAAAGACTTTAATGGCAACTTAATTTAAAAGCTTGAAAACATTTTGTTTTCTAATTATCAATTTATTTTTTTTTTAGTTTTATGTGAAACAAAATGTTGTTGGATGTTCCTACTGTTATGTTTTATTGTTTTTAGGTTTTTTTATCAACTAACATCCTTGGATGCATTGTAGTTGATAATATTGACATTTACTCTCAGAAAATGATCCCAAGTTGAGGCAGAAATGGTCATTCATCCGTTTAACATTCATAATGTTTGCAATAGTTTTCATGCTGGCGGCTTTTCACTGGGCATTTGTTGGCAACAATATTTCTTCTAACTAATGCAACAAAGAAAAATCCCTTGGACAGAAGATTTTATTTTGTCATAGGTCTTTTCCTTCTTTTCTTTTTTTTCTTCTTTGAAACTCCTAAAAAGTAATTCACTATTTTGTTGTATGTGATCCTTCGATCCACTTTTCTGGTTCTTCGTGAATGGCTGAAATCATGAATACAATTATTTCAATGAATTTTGTCTATTTTATAAATTAAAATTTTAATCATTCTGTTTTTTAGAATTTACAGTATATTTCAATCTCAGGCGGTACAAATTAGTCAACAAATCAGCATACATGTATGCTCGAACATACAAAATGTAAAATTCTGTTGTTTTTCATTATTTTGCACTTTTAAGAAGAAACTAGGTTAAAAACATATAAAAACATTACTTTTTACTTGTAATTACAAAAATAACCAAACATATATAAATAACAAAGATAAACAACACAAAACATCTTGAAATATTAAAACTTACAAACACAGATTTGTATGATAAAAGTTCCTAAAGGACAAAGATAACCGCACTGGGTTCAACATGTGTTCACTGACTTGCTGATCAACACCCATCAACTTTAATCATCACTTCAAGCATAAATAATAAGCTTTATTTTATTGACATCGTTAACTTATTTAATAAATTGTAAGTAAGATGCAATGAAGTATGAATCTTGATTTCAGAAAACTGATCTATGAATTATCACATTTCTTAGGTTAAATAACAATAAATTTAAGCTGTGTTGAAATATTTTGCCATTAATAACATATATGCTATATAAGCATTATAAATATTTCAGAGGTGAGCCAAAACTGCTTCATTCCTCTTAAAATCATACATTGTTTTCTATTCAAGTAATTTGTAAAAATCCCATAATTTTTTATAGTGTAATTTGACAATATAGTCTTACTGCTTAATACGGTTATCTTTTCTTTACATTTAACTGATAAACAGTTTTATGATCAGTTTCAAAGAGTATCAAGTCACCAGTGGAGCCTCATCGGACTTCCAAATATACAATCCAAGATTCGCATGCAATTTCAAAAAAGTTATTTACATGTCAGAGATGATTTCCTTTCTTTTGCTACGCTCATAAGGAACGATATTAGTCCAAATTAGAATCACTGCTGCACAAGCTAAACCAGCACAAGGCCTTAATAACATATTAATCCAAAGTTAAATTAGCCAATTCTGAATTTAGGGAATCACTTTACTGGAAGCCAAGAAATCAAATTCTATTTTTATTGTAACATTTTTCTGTTTTTTCTTTGTAATTTTTATAACTTTAACATATGTTTAGCACACCAATTCTTTCTCAATAAAACAGGCCTGGTTATTTACACTTTTCCCCTCTAACATCTTATATTGTTTTATTTATTTTTCAATATTAATATACATGGTATTATATTGGAAGAGATAAAGATGCAAACTGACAAACCTTTTTGTGCTGCCATTGTAAGCTATCCTCAGCCAACTAGTCTGAAATTTACAATGCTTCTTGGGTATGGTAATTTTTGTTTCATCATTTCATTCAAATCATCTTATATGAAATTGTTCTTCATCCGACTGTACGATATTGAAATTTACAGAAGAAACGATGGCTGCCTTTAATAAGCTAAAAGAACTCATGAGTAATGTGGCCTTGTTGGTTCATTCCAGAGTAGACGCCAATTATTTTTGTGAAAGTGGACGCATTCAATGTGGCAATTTGCGCACTGTTGGAGCAGCAAACAGGATACTCCTGGCTGCATCCACTAATCACCTACCATCATCAGATATTGGAAATAATATTTAAAAAAGTATGTCTGAGGCTCCAATCTGTAGAGAAATGCTGGGTCATGTTAGGAAAAAACATTGCGATGTATGCCCAAAGCATCCCATGACCAATAAAGGGAAATGGATGGGTTTGAAACATTCCATTTATTTTTTGTTATTATTAAGGTGGCTCCAGACATTCAAGATGCGTCGAATGTCACTATACAAAACTGTAACAGCAGCTGCAGCAATGAGTTTCACTGTTGTCCATCATGATTGGTAACAAGTTGAGGACTCACATGGCATTAGACAAAAATATATTTGCTGTTAACGCACAAACTGGCTGGTTTTACAAACCCCACATGTTTGTATACATAGGCATGCTATTTGGCAAATGCTAAGATGAGCATCTTGAAACTTGACAAATCTTCGGCAGCAATCGGCTTTCGGCGAGTATCACAGGTCTGGAGCCACCTTTAGACAACGAAATATGTGCGTGTGCCAACGTCGCTTCAGTCTCTGCCAACGATTGATAGGTAATGATGAGGATGACAATTCACGGATTAAGGGGAACACTAAGCAGTTTCATACAGTACAAGTCCATATGGGGCTAGCAGGGCAGTGTAGTCTTTTTTTTTCGTTATTGTAAGTTTGGATTGCCTGTCAAGTAGTCTTTTTAGCATTACATTATCTATTTAGAAAAATTGAACAACACACATTATACCATTTATCATTTCTATTACATTATAATTGTTATTTTAGTTTTTGACAAAAACAAATAAAAAAAATTTTTTTTTTCTTATTATGTAGTCATATCCATAACAAAACATTACCCAAATAATTTTTTTAAATGTTAACCTAAATTTTTGATTACAACATATAGTTTGAGTATATGTAGTTATATTTACAACTATTTACATAATTACATGGAGGGGAGCCAATAATCAATATTATGCTTCACTTCATTAATTTAACTTCACTGCCTACTCCTCAACAGAAAAGAGGTCAGGGGCCATTTCCTCCAGAAATGGTAATGAGATTGTAGGGACAGGTTATGTCGCAAAGGCTTGGGCAAGACTACTGTAGTGTTGGGAATGGTAAATTTTTAAGGAATTAAGTTTTGGATAAATGGAATATTAAGGTTGTTGTGGAGGGTAATTTTGGAGACATAATATGGAACATTTATAATTTATTTGAGAGGGAAACCAAAGGGGCGATTTGATCACTGGTGACCACATAAAAGGAAAACAATTAATCATTTTAAGAAAAAATCATTTGAATAGTTGTACATCAAGGATTTATTCGCACTCTTTCAACTCACTAGAAAATACACTGTTTTACTTTGGAACACACTTTGCTACACTGTTTTATTATGGAATCCATAGAATTACAAACACTAAACATGAGATGATAAAAATATGATCTGATACTTTCTAAAACTCTTAAATAATGTGATTAACAATTGACAATTAATTAATTTGCTAAATTTCCATGTCCCATAATGTAGTACGAGACAAAAATATTAGTTTAGAAATCTAATACAAATTATTTAAAATTTAGTCCAATTACTCAACCATGAAAATGACTAATAAACTTCCTTTATGTTGTGACACTTTTTACCTTTTCTTAAGTAGATTTAAACTTTTTTTTAAATTTATATATATATTTTTTTTAATTTTTATCATTCCTTCTTACTTCTGTCATATTTATATTCATACAATTATGTGGTGTTTAGTGACCGTCAGTCAATGATTATTCGGAGATGGTGAGATGCAGTCTGGTGTGACGTAGGATTAGAAAATCATTTTCTTTATCATGCCAACGTTTTATTGAGATCATCTTCAGGGCCTGGGATTTACAAACATTGGTCAAATTTAACAAATACAAGTAGGATGTTTGAAAAAATGAATTTACGCAATGCAGAAAAAAAATTTTATATTCAATCAAATTATTTGTACTCACTCAAAGTTTTGTTTTCTGCGTAATTGTGTCATTCTTGTGTGACGTGTTGAGAGTGTTGTCGGGAACAATAAAAAGAGCAGTAACGTGAACAATACTTTTAATTATTAAACGAGCAATGCACAAACAGGTGGCGGCGGAATAACTAACAAAAACAAACTACAAAAGTACAAACTTTGTAGTACAAAGTAACAACGTCCCTCTACTACAGTTACCGGTGTTACCAACATTCATTTTATAAATTTATCTGCCAATATCCCCCCTAAATTTTAGAAATGAATAAACACTTTCTTTCATATTATTAATCAATTACAAAGAACTTGAATAACGTAATTTAAAAATAATATATAACATAGAATTCACATATAACTTATACATTATAACTTATAAACTAATATTATTTATATAAACATAATTCTAAAATTTCTAATAGTAATCTTAAAAATCAATTAGACCTAATTCCTTTTTGAAATGACTGAATTTACTTTTAGGAATTGCTTTTGTCATAATGTGTGGTGATTAGTGACCGCTAGTCGATGATTATTCGGAAATCGTGAGATGCGGTCTGGTGTGACGTAGGTTTCAGAAAAACATTTTCTTTGTCGTGTCAACGTTTCGATCTTTATTGAGATCATCTGCAGGGCTCAATAAAGATCGAAACGTTGACACGACAAAGAAAATGTTTTTCTGAAACCTACGTCACACCAGACCGCATCTCACGATTTCCGAATAATCATTTTGTCATAATATCGCTATTTGATCTTGACTTGGAATATATTTCACTTCAATGACATTTTCTGAAATTAAATTTCTTATAAAATGATGTTTAACATCAATATGTTTACTCCTTTTTGTTTCACGAGTGTTTGCTATTTTAATTACAGATTGATTATCCTCATAAACAGTAATCTTCATTTTATTTTTACCAGTGATAAATTCAAAGAGTTGTTTTACAAGCATACATTCAGTGATTACCCATGGATAGTGAGATATATTCACACTCAGCAGATGACAAAGCAACAACTGTCTGTTTCTTTGACTTCCATGATATTATGTTTTTATTTAACTTAATGACAAAACCACTGATACTTTTACGATCCCTCACATCTGATCCAAGGTCTACATCGACAAAAACATTCATGTTAAAATCACTGCATTGTGCCATTCTTGTGTGTCGTGTTGAGAGTGCCAGTGGATATTGCGGTTTTATGTTTATATACGTTGGATTTTGAAGAGGTGGGGAAGGAAGTCGGGAATAGAAAGACATTTTTGAGGAGTCGGCTTGTTTGAAGTGAAAGGAGCCGACAATGGGAAAAAACGTGGGTAAAGATTCGACCTGATTATCCTTTCAGGATTATATAGACGGGATAATTAGGGAAAGGAAGCCAAATTGTTGAAGAATTAGACTATGTAGAAATGTTTGATGTGGAATGTGACGATTGTTTTATATGTTATATTATATGTTTTGTATGATGTGATGATGACATATGTTATCGATATTGAATTTGATTAATGATATTTGCGTAGTTGCGACTGAGTTTACAAGTGTCTGTTCTATAATTCATGCTGTGTTTACCTCTGTTGATGTGAACCATTTCTAAAAAGTTACGTTTATGTTTGTTTTGTTCTTCGTGTAATATTTTTGGATTGTTGAAGTTGAAATTGTGTTTGTGTTCAAAATGGTGGGTAGCGAGTGTTGTAGGATTTTGCTTGGGTTTTTTGCAATCATAGTTATGTTGCTTTACTCTCTTATTCAGATATTGGGATGTAATACCTATGTAAGTTGCCGAACAATTTAAACAATTGATTTTGTAAATTATGTCAGATTTATTTTTTACTGGTGTGGGATGATCTCAATAAAGATCGAGCCGTTGGTACGATAAAAAAATGTTTTTCTAAAAGTACGTCACACCAGACCGCCTCTCACGATGTTCGAATAATTATTATTTATGTTTCAATTATTCATTATTGTTTAAGTATAGTTTAAAGTCTAATAGAACTCGTAACTGGGTATATTTACCTACATAAATAAGTATAAGTTATAACATCACTTTAGATGACTGTTTTTATTTGCTTACTACTCCATGTTTTATGCTCCTATATGTAACATAATTGGCAAATTAGTTTTATTTTCGTCTTTTGCATATGTTGTCTCCTCATTGAAGTTTAGTTATTTCAAAGCTGTTGATGGGTGCTGTCGGCTACTACAAACTGAAACAAATAGAATAATTATATTAATAGATACAGTTAGTGGTCCGATTGACCAATTAACTTTTTCAATTAAATAATTCTTATGAAAGGTATTGGTTGAGATAAAAAAGTCAGTGTCACGAGCGGGATTCGAACCCCCGATCTTCGGCTAAATACGCCGCTAATCTACCACTTGAGCTATAGTGACTTCCCTCCTGACACTGACTTTTTTATCTCAACCAATACCTTTCATAAAGATTAATTAATTGAAAAAGTTAACTGGTCAATCGGACCACGAACTCTAATGGATTTAGTAATTAAACTGAAGTATATTTTCACGAAGATCTCCGTGGCCATTTCATTTGTCGCCGAGAATCAA